AAGAATGAGTCTGTTCAGCAGAGTGATGATGTAGACAAGATTAAAAGGGGGCTGCTTTCAGGAACTTGAACAGCATTCACTTAGCATACTAATTAAAAAAGAAGCCTACCTATTAAGAGTGAAATCTACTTGACAAACACTTTGCTAATGGTGAGTGTAACTTAGGTGCTTGAGAGTTAGAAGATACCATTCCTTTCCGTTTCCCATAATGTAGACTTTCACTAATTCAGACACCACCTCCCCCATAATTAAGTGAACATTTTTCAACGCATAACTACCTTGAAGTATGCTAATGTCTGCAAAGCATGCACAACTCCAAGTCTCACCATCTGCTACATGATTCATTTGTAAATCTGCCTAGTATTCCTTTGGGAAGTTCCAGGACTGCTTTTCAACCTCATTATAAAAACTTGGTGGGGACGAATTCAGTGATCCAGTATGTATGAGAGAGCTCCGAGCGCTTGGAAGAAGGTGCCCTGTTCATCCTAGACAGGTCGCGATGGTTTGTGTGCTGTGATGAAAAATAAAAGTGTTTGAAAGCAATTGCTTAGAGGTTTGGAGTTTTAATCAAGAGTTCCAGAAAAAGTGAGGCTTTGGAGTAATATATCAGTCACGGAGAACTCTCTTTAATTTGGGCCCAAACGAACCCTTGCTGGTTATGAAATAAAGACAATGGGTCATCTGTTGGTGGCAGTTCCTTCAGGGAAAGAACTGTGACTTACTCATTTCTGAGGCTCTAGAAACCACATTAATGAATGTCTTATCCGTCTTTTCTTCCTGCCGTGTGCTTCAATTATATTATGCATGGGTTTATTCCGCGTCACATCTTGACCTCCCTTCCTCTCTTGCCCTACTGATTAGGGGAAGATAGGCCTGGAAACCAGGCAATTCTTTCATAGGTTCCAAGAATTGCCGCTGGGAACGTGAGATTTTCAACAGGGTCCTCAGGACTGTTCACAGCTTGGTCTGCAGGATGCTGCCCCCTAGAGGTGCACATGCCACAGCCTACAGACTGCATGTGTCCACCCTGGGCTTCACCTCAAGGCTGCGCCAAGGCACACCACGGCAGGAACCATTACAACCCTTAGTCTACTTGCCTAAGTGGGGAGGAGCATCTTCTTATGCCTAAGAGGGAACTGGCAATAACGGGCAAAGAATGAGGAGGAGAGCGGAGGGTCAAGGTGGTCTCTAAATAAGTACCGGTGTTGGGATGGGCGCAGGGCTGTTGAGAACAGAACTATGAATGTAAACAGTCCGCATGCAGTTGCATATTGGGGTCTCTCGTGTGGATCCTTAATCTTCAGTCAAGTTCTGCTTTGACCAACGGCCTCTGTTTTACCACCGGAACAGAGGGAGACAATGACCCCACAGCCTGGGGCGTTCTCTGGAGGGACTGAGCAGTCTGGCAGGTAACAGCTTGCGTCTGCCCTGGGCCCTGGCAGGTAATAGTAGGTGCTGGCTCAGCGCCATCCGCACCCAGGCTCACCCTCACTGCCCCTCTCTCTGCCCCTGCCCAACTTGGCCCACTTCTCCCAGCTCTCCCTCACACCCCGTACAAAGTACCAGGCAACCCCCCTTTGCTTTGTGATCCATCCACCCCGCCCTTCAGTGGGATAATGCGTTTGCAACACTATCTGGATTTTTTCCTCCCCAAGCCAAAGAGGCCAGATTTGGCTCCATTTTCTTACTGATACCATTGTTTTCTTTTCAACCACCACTGGTCTCAGGGGAGAAATTATTCTCCTCTCAGTTAGGGAAGCCAGGAGAACTCCAGAATGGAGCTGCCGCACTCGCAAGCTTTGGACCCGTGCCTCCCTCCCCATGGTGTCTCCCAAGTCCGGGGCTCTCTCCCCTGAAGCTGCCCAGTGCGCCCAGTGCGCCGCTTTGAAGGCTCCTGGAGTGGAGCGCGCGGCAAATGCTGGCCTCGTCCTGCCACCCTGTGGCCAAGGCTAAGCACTGCAAGCGGCCTCTTCCTTGAAAAATTATACTGGTTTGATTTGGGCTTTGTTTGTTTTTCCTTAAATATAATTGACATATAACATTTCATTAGTTACAGGTGTGGAACATAGGGATTTGATATTTGTATACATTTCAAAATAATTCACAGTAAAATCAAAGTAAATCTCCTTAACGTTCATCACCACCACAGTTACACTTTTTTTCTTGTCATGAGAACTTTCGAGATCTAAGTCTTTTATCCCCTTTCAAATATACAATATGGTGCTGCTAACTCCCGTGACCATCCTGTACTTACCCTGCACTCCAAGACTTTTGTTTTTATTTTGTTTTTTAGATTCCACATACAAGTGAGATCCCCCGGGTTTTGCCCTCCTCTGCTTGCCTTACCGCACTCAGCCTAGTAAACCTGGATGGCCCTTGAGGGCTTTGGGGTTTTGTCAGGATTTGGAGTTTCCTTCTCTAACTGCTAACCCCTGCTCAGTCCCCAAGCCTCAGCTCACACACGCTTTCTCCAGGGACTTGAATCCACGCCTCCCCGGTCAGATGCCACTGGTCAGATGCCACCGGTCAGATGATGCCATCGGCCCTCACAGCTCCCGCCCAGTCGCCAGCTTCCCCTCCACACACCGCCTACAGCCACTCACGTCGCCTCCCTGGTCAGACTGGGAGCTATTGAAGACAAACGTACTCGTCTGTGTCTCCAGGGCCGGCACAGAAAAGTCCTCAATGTATATGCGGAAGAAAGGGAGGGGGAGAATTAGAGGGGGGGGAGGGAGAGGGGAGCGAGGGAGGGAGGAGGAGGAAGATGATCAGGGAGATAATATATGTAACCACAGCCCGCCACACTTCCTGAGCGTCACAGCGCGCAGGCACGGATACATTCATGTGATGTATCCCAGGCTCTCAGGACCAATATCCACTCAGGGGTCCCAGCCCCCCCAGGGACTGAAAGGTTAATGCCTGGTCTAGCGGGGTCCCCTGGACCCTGGTCACATCACCCCTGGCCAACATCAGCACCTCATCTTCCAGTCTCCAAACAACAGGCTATCACCCAAACCCTTCCCACTTTCCACACCCACATTTCATTGGCACCGCACTGCCCCATCGAGGTCACCTCGGCGGGGACGTGTCCCTGAGGGTCTGTGTTCCTTCCTGGTTTCTTCCCACTCGTATCTGCTGCGACAAGATGGAGTCGCTAAGGTGCCATTGGGCTGCTCTCCAGAACCTTCACCAAGTCAGAATTCTTTTCCTTTCTCCTTTTCTTCAGAATCAGCCCAACTGGATTGCTTTGCCACTAATTACCTTCGTCCTACATGGCCCTTTCCCTCGTGTCCCCACTTATCTTCTACGAGTAAGTGTTCGAGTGACACGCCGTCCTCCCAGCCCGGTCACACACGTGAGAAGCCGTGGGAGGCAGGGACAAGGGAAGTCGCCCTCTTCCCTCTGTTTCATCCTGGCTTCCTGGGGAGGGCCCGTCCCTCCCCCACCTGGTGACGCGGGACAGTGAGGTCGCCAGGTGCTCCCTGGGAGGGGCCTGTGCAGAGGCCCAGCGGGGCCAGGACCTTCCAGCTTATGAGTCTGCCTGACTCCTGCTCCGGAGCGGAACACAGACAGGGACTAAAAGCACATTTGTCACTGGGCTGTGGGATGAGACACGTACTTGGGAAATAATGGCTCCAGGTAGGAGGGCAGGGATGGTTGGGGCCTGGGAGAAGCGAATGTTTGATGACACCGTTTCTAAAATGTGAGCACTTAAGGCTCTTTCGTTATTATGTGTTATTACAGTTCTATAAAAATCGTTTCCAGGAATCAATCCCAAAGTGTTGAAGCTTCCCCAAAAGGCAGAGCTTAGAAGATGCTCTGTAGATAAATTATACTCAACCCTACGCATGAAGTCGGCCTGTGGCAGGGTCCACTCTCGGGACGTGACTGACCCCACGTGAACACCGCGTGTGGCTCTCGTGCCAGGACTTCAAAAGACAGCAACTTCTTATAAAGGAGGAAAGATGGGCATGAATTTCCCGTTTCTCATGAGTGTGCCGAGGCCCGGAGAGAGTACATGGGATCACTCTAAGTGAAAGCCAGCACGCAGTGACGGTGCTGGAAATAAACATCCATCTGCCATGACTTCCAGTGCTACCACTTCTGCAGTGGTGCCCACCCCACCCTGCTCCATCTCTGGTATCCCGCTCCTTCCGGGGGATCGGGTTCTCATGACCTCGTGTGTGATGTGCCAGCCACACGGCCCCAGGAAACACTGACAGGCCTTTGACTCCTGCTCTCCCATTAGAATCAAGACCTGGAGACAAAGGAGTCAGGTGACACTGAGGGGGGACACCGAGGGAGGCCCTTGTGGATATCCCTGTGCTGACGGAAGCCACTCCATCTGAGCGTCACAATGTCACCTAACTCAGGTAACGCCGGTGCCGCCATAAATCCGCTGCGGGTGGCGGTGATGCTTTCACAGCGATGGACCTTGACAGCGACAAGTATTTCCCCTGCTCTTCTCACTGACTTCACAAGAAGCCCACCCCAAGGTCCCCACCGTCCATTACAAGCAAGACGCTATGCAAAGTGACCAGCAGGGGGAGGTGCTCTGCTCCCAGGATCTCTGTCCGCCCAGCAAGTCAGAAATCACCCGAGGCTGTTAAGCTGCAGGTTCTGGTTCAGGAGGTCGGGGTGAGGTCGGGGTGAGGTCGGGGTGAGGTCGGGGTGAGGTCGGGGTGAGGTCGGGGTGAGGTCGGGGTGAACCTGGGCTCTGCGATTCTAACAAGCCCCCAGGTGATGTCTGTTCTGCTCCTAGGACCACGCTTGGAACAGCAAAGGCTCGAACAGTTAGACACATGGCAGTTTCAAGGACTGAACAGGCAATAGCAGGACTAGCTCCCCCATGATGGGGCTCGGATGGCTGCGGACCCACCGGAGACCTGTCTTGTGTTGTTCTCTTACTGCGGTGTTTGACTGGCACTGGGCAGCACTACGAGAGAGAATGCACTGAAGGAGCCCAGGAAAGGGGCGAGAGGTTTACTCACGGGAGAAGCGAGAGAAGCGGGTGAGGGGTCCGGCAGTCTTGTCTCCAGCTTCATTTGCAACTGGGGGGAGAGAAAAAAAAACAGAGGGTGCCATTAAGAACGGGCACGTGTGTACACAGAACATGCCGACCTAGAGCTCATGCTCTGGATGGTGTGACAGTAGCTATGTTTGCAAGCCTTTGTAAGAGAACAGAAACAACTTTACTTCTGTTCTTTCTGTATTTCCAGTGCTGCTCTTAATAATGTCCAGGTGAGGTCGAATGTCTTCATTGTTTTGAGTAGAATATCTGAATGAAGCTGGAGAGGACCTGACACACTGAGCTCACCATGCCTGCAGGAATCAATCGGCCTGACCCAGGATACATCTGTCCTTCTGCCTCCAACTTCCCCTCATCCGGCTGATCTGTCCATCAACACACAACTGTGCCCCAACCACCTGCCGCCAGCCTGGTTTGCTAGGACCAATAGGGGCAAAGCTAGGGCAGGGACGTCAGGAGATAACAAAGTTGGTTTTTATTAAGAGAGATATTTAAATATAGACACTAACAAGTGGGGGGCGCCAAAATGGGGGGGGGGGGTTCCAGGAAGTTGTCCAGAGAATTGCTTGAGAAAACCTTCCCCCCTAAAGCTTCTCATTAGGACCGTGTGCCCACCTCTGAAGGGCCTCTAATTCATCATGTCAAAAGCGGTGTTGTCAATGTCCTCTATATGGATAAACACCATCTTTGTGATTAACGAAGAGGTCAATGATCAAGTGGAAACACACGTTTCCCTCACTTTAAATATGACTTTCAATGCCCATAAAGGTTCTACCTTGGTTGTTTTGTATATACATAGTCAACACAGGCATAGAGGTTTGTGACCAACTAGAATGAACAACCAAAGCAACCAACTGGAAAAACCAGTTCATTTCAGTTTAGTTAAAAAAAAAAAAAAAAAACAGTCAGTACCCAGGCAGAAGAAAGAAGATTGCTGATGTAAGCATTCATGAGAGGTCGCAGGGGTGGGACAAAAGAAATCACTACCTCATAAACGTATGTCATCATTTTGCAAACAATGGAAGGAGTCAAAACAAAATTCCCGCACCCTCTCACAAAGGTCAACATTTTAAAATTTACTACACGTGGACAGTTTTTTTTAATTAAGGGACTGGAGCTCAGTCTGCATCTGTGTTTCTGTTATTTGCATGGCCCGGAAGTCTCCAGTCTTCGTACGTTACAAACCAGACAGTGCACAAAACGACCAGCAGGGGAAGGTCCGCCCACAAGGTCTCAGCCCATCACAGGAAAGAGGGAGAGGGGTGGGCAGAGAGCCCAAGGCAGGTGTAGGCAGGCGTTTCCCTGCTCTGGAGACACCACGGTCGCTCTAGAGGAAGCAGAGACCAGTGCAATCGCTGAGGACACCAGCAACCACCAACGCGTTCAGCTCGGAAAGCCACACTTTCCCCTTGGGAAGAAAGGTTTGGTGACCCCACTGTCACCGCCACACGTGCGGCAATGGCTGCCTGTGCACCCCTCTCCCGCCACCCTATCCGCGGAGGGGACTGCTGCCCAGGTCCGCGTCAGGAGAGGCTGGAGTGGAGACCTGGGCCAGCGGGCCCCCAAGAGCTCTCTCTGCTCACAGGGACCTGAGCCCTGCTCCCTGCATTATTTTCCTAGACCCGGACCCAGCGCCACAGTCAAGTGACGTCCCAACGCCTACAAGAGACAAGCCAGCTACCTTAGCCTGGTCTCCTGGCCCCACCTGTCCTCTCAGCTCACTGTTTCCCAGAGCATCCTTGTCACATGCTCTGCGCTGACAATTCCCAAACACACGCCCTACCCGCCCCTCCTCCCAGGACACGCTCCTGCGGCTTCACCTGGCCAGCTCCCACTCATTCCTCAAAGCACCCCACTTCCCACCACACCTTCTCCACGCCACAGATCTCCGCCCCTATGACTGACTCCCCTTCCGGACCACGGTTCTCGAACCGCGGGCGGATCAGAACCACCAGGAAGGACTGCGGAGACAGACTGTTAAGATGCAGATTCTAATTCGAGGCACCCGGAGTGAGGCCCAAGAATCTGCCCTTCTACCAAGTTGTCCAGGTGATCTACTGAGGATGCTGGTCTGGGGACCCTATTTTGAGAACAGCGTCTCTCACCTACCCCAGCCAAGTCAAGGATCAAAACTCTGGGGGGGGGTGGTGCTAATCTTCACCCGAGGATATTTTCCCATTGATTTTATTTTTTATTTTTTAGAATGAAAAGGAGGAAGGAAGGGGAAGAGAGAGAAATACTGATGTGAGAGAGACACATCGATTGGTTGCCTCCCACACAACCCCCAACCAGGGCTGGGGATCGAACCTGCAACCCAGGTACGTGCCCTTGACCAGGAATCGAACCCGTGGCACTTAGGTCCTCGGACTGACACTCTAACCACTGAGCCACACTGGCCAGAGCTCTCCAGTCTTTTTAGCAGTAACTGGCACACAAAACAACGCGTTCTGTCAACATTTTGAGAACTGAATGAGGGAGACTGAGACCCTACCAACGGCCCCGGATGGCTTAGCAGATCCAGACCTCAGACTGGCTTCCAGAGGACTATAAAAAGCCCACGTGTGTTTTGTTTGGTCTCACGGTTTTTCATTTTTAAACAATTGGTTGTCTACATTTTAAAAATCAAGTGATTTCAACCACAAATGCGAATGTCGGTTCCTCCCAAAAACTGAAGAGCTGTCCTCTCCAACAGGTCGGCAATGAATCAGCACCGAGACGCCCCCTAGGGGTGGCGCCGCCTCCTGCACGCTCGGGGGGCAGCTCCCTGCCGACTGGCATTGGGCTTTCTACACTCTCATCACGGCCCAGAGGGCAAATGAAAACAGGACCTCTTAAAGAATGAAAACAAAGGAATGAAACTAGAACTCAGCAGAGACCAGCCCTACAAAAAGGGGTGGTAGTCAGGCATGCTAAGCACTTCTGACCCCAGCCACACTGCCCAGAATGCTCAACAGACTGCTCGAACTCACCAAGGCTTCCTGACCAGGGGGAGCCTTCCTACAGGGCTGTTCATCTCTTATTTGTAACAATATACAGTGAGCTTTAACAGGAACGTAGATGTCCCATTTCTCAGGTGCAATTAGAACTTGAATTTGGCAAGATCTCACAAAAGGGATTATGCAGATTTAAGGAAAGTTATCCATGTCACACTGTTGGGCAAAGCACACAGACGGGTATGTATTATTGATCTCATTGATGTTGAATTATGTGTCTAGGTTACATGTGCACACAGGCACAGAGAAGTGAGTGGAAAAGTGTGCACCAGGTATACTAACAATTACAGCTTCTGTGTGCTGGCATTTGGGGAGATTTTTAGCCTCTTTTGTACATTCCTATATAAACTCAATGGTTTGTGATAAGCATGTACTAAAGGAATAGAAAATAGTTGACTATTACTTCATATTTATAGTTTTGGATACTGTACATGTATGTTTGTTGGTTTGTATAAAATGTGCTTTAGATTTGGATTTTAGAGCAGTCTTGGATCTCAGAATCCAGGGATGTCCAATCTGTAGTCCAAGAGGGCACCCTATGAACTCAATAAATGAATCATCTCCACTCCCCTCTCCGGCAGGTCCCACACGTCACAGGTCTGTGGCCTGCAGCCCTGGCCACACATCAGAGTCACCTAGAAAATTTACAAGTCCCGGTGCCCAGGCCATACCCCAGACCATACCCCAGGCCATACCCCAGACCGGTTAAATAGGGTCTGGGGTGGGAGGTGGGCCCCAAGCTTCAGTACTGTAAGTTCATCTCCCCAATGATTCCAAAGAGCAGCCGGCTCAGAAACAGTAATAAATGGTGTGACTTCATACATCTTTATCAGAGCAGCATTCAGGGAGGAAGGTGGGGCTCAGATTCCTTCCAAAATAATTACCCCTATTCAGCTCTTCTTTTCAGGCTGCTATTGTTTTGTCATTAAAACCCTGAACAGAGACACGACACTAAGAAAAATTCAACCATTAAGACTGCAAACATAACTGTGAGGCTCAATCAGTGGGCAGCTCTTCACTTTTATAAAAAGGTTCATTTTGCACTGCCTCTGTCTTCAGTGCGTGTATCGAGTGCCACGCGGGAGCTCGGGCTGAGCTAGGCTCTGCAAGGATGGCAACAATAGCTTGCGCTCAGCCTTGACATATGAGCCAGGAGGGTGGTTAGCTGTGCCTCTGGTCTGGGTTCACTCAAGGGTGATCAGCTAAGGAGCTAACTTTAAGGTGGTGACAATGCTGATGATAATGATGACGATAGTGATGATGATGATAGTGATGATGATAGTGATGATAATAGTGGTGATAATAGTGATGATGACAGGGATGACGATAGTGATGACGATGATAGTGATGACGATGATAGTGATGATGACAGGGATGACGATAGTGATGACGATGATAGTGATGACGATGATAGTGATGATGGCAGTGATGACGATAGTGATGATGATGATAGTGATGATGATAGTGATGATAATAGTGGTGATAATAGTGATGATGACAGGGATGACGATAGTGATGACGATGATAGTGACGATGATAGTGATGATGACAGTGATGACGATAGTGATGACGATGATAGTGATGATAGTGATGATAATAGTGGTGATAATAGTGATGATGACAGGGATGACGATAGTGATGACGATGATAGTGACGATAATAGTGATGATGACAGTGATGACGATAGTGATGATGATGATAGTGATGATAGTGATGATAATAGTGGTGATAATAGTGATGATGACAGGGATGACGATAGTGATGACGATGATAGTGATGATGATAGTGATGATAATAGTGATGATAATAGTGGTGATAATAGTGATGATGACAGTGATGACGATAGTGATGATGATGATAGTGATGATGATAGTGATGATAATAGTGGTGATAATAGTGATGATGACAGGGATGACGATAGTGATGATGATGATAGTGATGATGATAGTGGTGATAATAGTGGTGATAATAGTGATGATGACAGGGATGACGATAGTGATGATGATGATAGACGATGATGATGATGATG